TCAAAGGCAGTTAATTTAGCTAAGAAGTGTATCACTGCGTGCTCTTCCACGTAATCTCCTTCCTCCCTGCCTGGGATGCAGATGAGATGATTATGCTCCGAGCACAAGAGCACACGGGTGGCCAAGAGGAGGGAAGGCATATTTATGGGAGGGTGGTGAAATGAGACAGAAGCCCAGGTCCTTGACGTGATACCAATCCCAGATCGAGCTACCACAGACAGCTTGCAACTGAGGTACAAACTAACTTGCCTTGTTAAAAACAAACCTCTTACGCAGATCCTCTCCCTCCTTTACCACGCTGGCCACGTCTGCTACCTCTTCAGCTCCTGTACCTGCCCAGTGTCCTGGTCCCGCATCACCCACTGACTAAACTCAGACTTCCCAACAAACCACTTGAAAGCTTTCATGACTTGGTCCTAATGTGCCTTTCCAAATTTGACTTTTATTCCATTAAACTGGGAGTCTTCCAAAGACAGACGCTTTATCTCTTACTGTGTTTTCATTAGCTAGTATGGTGTCCGACACACTGACACAAAGATGCTTGGGAAATGTTTTTAACAAAGAAGCCTCCCTGGTGATGCAGGGGTTAAAGCCTCAGCACCATCAAGCTATCAGCAGCCACTTTAGCACTAGTTCAAGTTCAGTCCCCACCAGGGAGATGACCCACTTGGCTTGGAGCAGCAGACCTCTCCTGTCTCACCACTTCTCCCCTCAGTCACCTGCCTGTTCTGCTCCCCACTGTCTCTGGTGAATACGCTCAGCCCTGCCCCTCTGGCCTACACACTAATGAATCTCAAAAAAAAAAAAAAAAGAACTCTAATTAAAAAAAAACAAGATATATAGCAATAAGGGAATGTGTGGGATGTGTTAAATGAGTTGTTATTAACAACGTCACAGGAGAGGGCACGGGCAGCTCTGTGGATCTTAGAGTGGAGTCTTTCAAACAAGTGGGAAAGGGCAAAAGGCAGAGGGCACAGCAGGTGTTTGGGGAAATGAATGTGCAGTCTGGCTAAAGGAAGGGACTTAGCCAGGAGAGGTAGCTGAAGAGGGCACTAAGGACCTGCTGTGGAGGGCTGGGAAGGTCAGGCTCCGGCAGCGAATGGAACGGGAAGCCACTGGAAGTCCCAGCAAGGGGTGGCAGTACTTCCTGCACCGCTGCCTGGCACATCCTGCCACCTTCCCATGCCCAGGTCGAAGGCTTTGAGGATCGGAATGAGGGAGAACTGGGGGCGGGGTGTGAAAGGATGGCAGTGGGGACAGACAGGACACAAGTAAGGCGCCACCACCCACAGCAGGCAGCACAATGCGCCTGGACCCAGGAGGGAGCAGGGAGGAAGGCACTGTCTCCTTTGACCCAGTTGCACAGAGAAGGGGGAGGCTGTTCTGGCAGAGGGAAGGGAGCTGGCCCTACCCTGACTGGAGACAGGGCCACTCCTGGGGAGGCCTCCCTGTCGGCCCTCAGGCTTCCAAGATTCACACGGACCCACCATGCCCAGCTTGGGGCACTGTTAAGAACAATGATGTTCCTCATCAAGGTGGCGTACCTGTTATGCGTCACACAGGTAGCAGGGCACTGCATTTTAACTGTTTTTCATGTTCAAGATTGTTGCTGTAAAGTCTGAGTCATCACATGCAAGCCTGAATTCAACATCTAACGGCACATATCCCAGGACACACCACGTAGCCCAGCTGACTAGCTGTTTCCTTTCAGGGATGGCTATCCACACGCATCTAAGCAAGAAGCATCACCTTCTTCCCCCACTACCCCTATGACGGGTCTAGCCAGCAACCTATCACCCCCATCAATGCAAAATCTGGCATTGCCAAAAACACATTCCCTATCTCCTATTACCGAAAGCCGAGAGAACACCCTGCTTTCCTACGTTCAGAACTCAGAAGACAGCACCCAAATCCCTGTGACTCACGGCCCCAGTCCTTTAAAGGTCTTGTGCTTAATTCTATCCTAGCTCGCAACAACAGGTGGGCTAGGCGGAGGCTGGTGGGAAAGGAGTACGTGAAGCATCTCAATTCCAAGCCTGTCCGCCCTGGACCTGCTAGACCTTCCCAGAGACACTCTCAAGGTTCCTGGTTTGGCATCAAGGTAGAGGAGGGACGCAGAGGTGGAGCTTGGCCAGCTCTCAGCAGAGAGCTGGAGCTCTGGTTTGAGTGTCCTCTCTAGTCCACCACATTCTACCAAGGTAGATTTGCCTTTCAACTAGAGCCCAGAAACGCTCTTCTATAGCTCATGGCCAACAAGATACTCACCTCCAAGCTTTAATGGTGAGAGGTCCGAACCCAATTTCTCACTTTCAGGCCTCTGGCCACTGCCTTCAGGGGCAGAGATCCCGTCACATACTCAAGGCTTGGATTTCCTCGGATCTGGCCCTCAGGTCCCCTTGCCAAGGAATTCAAGTTCCCCTTACCCACCCCTGCAACCAAGGCCTGGTATCAATTAGAATGAAAAACCTGCCAAGGAAGAAAGGTGCCCAAGTCCTACCATTCCCTGGTGCCTCGCACGGTGACCCATCCCTCCAGTGAAGTGAGAAATTGCAGACCAAGCTCTGGACCTCCACACCTCTCAGAACTACCCCCAATATTATTACTGTTCGTCCAAAGATACCACTCCCTACACTGAGTAGCTGCAAAAGCATGGTGCACCCCTAGTTCCTCCCCAGCCATCGCTACCCCGCATGGTGCACCCCTAGTTCCTCCCCAGCCATCGCTACCCCGCATGGTGCACCC